AAAGTGGGTTCCTCGTCATCGAATTGGTATCAGCTGTCTTTTCATTCCTTTATGACAGTGTATGTATTTTTTAAATACCAAACAACATAATTACTTTATCAAAATATGATGCATCTATTTAAAATGAATAATCCTATAAATTTGATGCTTGTAAGTGACCTCTCCTCAAACAAATATAGCTAAAACTCTGAGTAAAGTAAATTATGCTCTGAACAAAATTTATGACCCATTTGACTGAAAAATTGTAATAAGTGGCAGTAAATATTTTAACTTTTATGTAGAGTTTTTAAAGTGTTAAATGAGGAAATTCTGCAGTGTCATGTCAATGATATATTTTAAGTTTTTGTTCTGCATGATTAAATATAGAAATAAATTCTGTCTGTACATGAACTTGATTTTTATACTTTATATTCGATGACGAGGAACCCACTTTGAGACTAATAATTGTTGGAGATGGCTTGAATAGGTAATGAAGAAAAACTTTAATATAAATTTAACATAACAGCAAATGTACAATGTTTCGACAAGGTTTTGTCATCATCAGTACCATTTTATAAAAAATTTGCCCACCCTAAATTTTATCTTTTTTCAACATAAAAAAAAGTTTTGGTTGGAAGATTTTGGAACTACGTTTTTCTCAACATATATTCAAACCCGTGGTGTCTTTGTTAAGATCCAGAGTACCTTCAGTCATATTCGTTTTTGAGCAAAACCACACTGGAAACAAACCCCGGATTTTAGCATAGACTTACTGCTTTCTCACCGAGGGGAACCCTCCAATTTGCCATCAGTACCTGATTTTGACAAAACGTTGTACATTTGCTGTTATGTTAAACTTATATTAAAGTTTTTCTTCATTACCCATTCAAGCCGTCTCCAACTATTATTATACTTTATATATTTGTGGTTACATCTAACCAAATTGTAAAGGAGTTGAATCACTCAGAGTTCAGAGAACATGTCAACAGCAGGAGTTTTATGTTATTCATTGGGAAAAAAATGTTAAAATGAATACATTTTGATAACTTCATGGATACATAAAAAAAAGGAACTGGTGATATTTTCCAGAGTCAATAATATGATTTCTATGATTCATAGGATTTCAAGGACCAATGGTTATGAACAACCTGAAGTTGGGAATTTCACTGTTACGTGGGGGTAATGTTGATGTTCAAATGGTAATCACCCTGCTACTTGTGTTCTAGGTTTAGATATCAAATTACCAACTTGTTTACATAGTGTTTACATCTTGTGAGGTTCACATATTACATCATAGTGAGTGATTTTATACTTTTTACCTTTCACAAAACTTATTTTCCATGTAAAATACATAAGGATCCCCAGCAGTAAATAATAGTTAATAGCAGTATCCCCCAGTGGCGCAGCAGTATGTCTGCAGACTTATACTACTAGAAACTGGGTTTTGAAACCTGTGGTGGGCAGAGCACAGATAGCCCTTTGTGTAGTTTATGTTTAATACCAAACAACAACAGTATTATTGATGTTGTTTTTGTTTATATATATTTTTGTATGAAGCCAAGGTTATTGGGGATCTTCTAACAAATAAAGTCATGGACCCACAAGCAATTTGGTGCATAATAGTTACTGAAAAGGGGTTTACAAATATAGAAGGGTCTAGACCCTATCAGTTACTTAAAGTTCATAAATAGCTGAACTATTTGTTGAAAGAGCAGTTAAGATGAATATTCAGAGTATGATATAAAACTTAACTTTTTAATCAATCTGGCTTAGCTTAGTGGATTACCCGTGTACAAGCAAGATTTACAAAATAGTAATTTCAGTGGTTAAGCCAGTGCTAACACCTCTTCATGGTATCTAATAATTGAAAACCTTTAAGGAGGAAGGCTAAGTGCACCACATTAACTATGTACATGAAATTAAACTCTTTCCATTTTGAAGGTACTTATTAAAGTTAACTTAACTAGAGACTACTAAAATTTGTCAGGTATCTGCATTTTTACTTACATGATGTCAGAAAAACATGTAGGTTCCAGAAGCCTTAATATAAAATGATAAAAACTCTGTAACTTTCCCAGTTTGCCCCTGAAGAAGAAAAGGTCCACCTTTCAAAAGCGCTCGGGTTACAGGTTTTTTAGCATTTTGCACATATGCTTAGATATTATATGAGAAATGTTATAGATATGTGTTGTGCTTAAAAGACAAATTTTACACAGTTATACTTTTGAATATGCTATATATATATATTATGCTAAATGATATAGTAGCACATCATCAGATGGTTGCGTAGAAATATAACTTGCTGTATTTATTGTAATAATATATTAAGAGAAAGGTATATTTCTGCTGCACAAGATCACTCACCCTAGTTGTAAAGGTGCCTAAGACAATTATATATCAGTAAATATAAAAAGGTTTGTTGTTGCAGTGCAGTCCACTGTGATGGCAAACTACAGTTTGTACAGCTATTTTACAATCTTTCATAGCGTATGTTGAAACATCTAAAAGAGAAGAAGGATGTTGGATTTTTCACATCTATTGCTGGTCTCATGAACTCCTGCAGGTAAGTTTATTCTTTGTGTTGTTTTAGAAACCTGTTCTGCAGTATTGTTTCATACCTTTTCATTTAGTATTTTTGATGATGTTTCGTGTTAATTGATTTTTTTCCTTTTAAGCCCAAAGCATCATCAAATGTTTTCAATGATTGTTATAAGTGAACTGCTTTTGAAATCAGATACTTCATAAACAGGCATAATAAATTCTCTATATTTCAGACCACTATATTATAACTGTTACGTTCTATCAAATATTTCATAAACAGCCATAATAAATTTTCTATATTTCAGACTAGTATATTATAACTGTTACATTCTGTCAAATATTCATAAACAGCCATGATAAATTCGCTATATTTCAGGCTTGTATACTATAACTGTTACATTCTGTCAAATAATTCATAAACAGCCATGATAAATTCGCTATACTTCAGGTTAGTATACTATAACTGTTACATTCTGTCAAATAATTCATAAACAGCCATGATAAATTCGCTATACTTCAGGTTAGTATACTATAACTGTTACATTCTGTCAAATACTTCATAAACAGCCATGATAAATTCGGTATACTTCAGGCTAGTATATTATAACTGTTACATTTTGTCAAATAATTCACAAACAGCCATGATAAATTTGCTATACTTCAGGCTAGTATACTATAACTGTTACATTCTGTCAAATAATTCAAAGTATACTAGCCTGAAGTATAGCGAATTTATCATGGCTGTTTATGAAGTATTTGACAGAATGTAACAGTTATAATATACTAGCCTGAAGTATAGCGAATTTATCATGGCTGTTTGATAACTGTTACATTCTGTCAAATACTTCATAAACAGCCATGGTAAATTCTCTATATTTCAGGCTAGTATATTATAACTGTTACATTCTGTCAAATAATTCATAAACAGCCATGATAAATTATATATATACTTCAACATACTTCAAGCCAGTATATTACAAATTCTGTCAAAAGAGTTATTAATCATTCATGACAAGTTCTCTTTACTTCAGACTAAAGAGTTCATAAACAGTTATTCAAAATTTGTCATACTTGAAACCAATACATTATGATCATTGAAGTCTATCAGAGTTCATAAAAGTCATTCAAAAACCACTGTACTTCATGACTGTATATTATGACATTGTAAGGACATAACAAGCCAAAAAGGTTGGGAGAGGGGTGCTTGGCATTGCCTAATTGTTTGAAATAGGTCTTCGATAACTGAGCTGGGAATACTTTTTCGAACATACAGAAGATAAAAAATGAAAGTGCAAATGGTACTGAAATAAAATAAATTGAGACATCTGCATTACAAGGCCTCTATAAGAAGTAATGAACATAACCGGAAACTGTACTTGATAATATTTTTTTCACTTTCATGGCACAGTGTGAAGATATGAAAACAAAGAAATTGGTGTGCAAATGGTAGTTAGCATAACCACTCTTTATCAAACAGAATGGGACGAGAGGTCTTTTGCATCATTATAAAAAATATTCAAAATTTAAAATTTGAGCAGATTGTTTTTGTAGGCATTTGATTCATGTTTAAGTCATTGTTTATTTTTATTTTGTATTGTTTCACACTGCACCAACAATGGTACTTAAAAGAGCTCAGACGTTTGTAAATACCAAGTTTTTATCAATTCTTTGTTCCTTGCTTGCTGATTTACTTTGTGACACCATGTATGGTAGTTATAATCTATGAGAGAATTCATATTGCTAGTTAGAAGATAATGGGTGTATATTTACATTCTTTAATTACATTACTTTTGACAGTGTGCTTGACCTGGATGCCTTTGAACGAACTCAGAAGGCTGAGGGTCTTGGTGTTGGCTCAGAAGGAACAGCTGGTGAGAAGAACATGCATGATACTGAATTCACATGTAAACTGTTCAGGTTCTTGCAGCTGCTCTGTGAAGGGCATAACTTGGGTAAGCTTTACTTCTTTCACTTTTATGAGAAAAACAAAATGTTCATACTTTAAAATACAAATATTTAATGAATTTGTTGGCACATTAAGCTAAACTTGTATTACGTGTCTTCTTTTGCTGTTCTGGGAGTGTGTGAGGAAGGTTTTTGTATTTGTTTTATCCAAAACACCTAATATTATTGCAATTACTTATTTTTACTGTAATAACCAGAAAAAATACTCATTATTTGGTTGTGAATGGAAATTATTGAAAAAATCAAATAATTTTAGAGGAAAAATGTTTTGTTTAATCTGATCATATACTAGCTGATATCTCAGGATTTCTTCAGAAAAAAAATGTTTTATGCAAATCGCTTGTGTTCTTCTCATTTTTTAGTATTTTAAATTTCTTATCTATAATAAAAAATATTGTTGCTTTTTTAAATTTTGAAATATATATATATATTTTTTTTTCTTCCAGAATTTCAAAACTATCTGCGAACCCAAGCAGGAAACACAACCACTGTTAATGTTGTTATTAGTACTGTTGACTATTTATTGAGGTTACAGGTGAGAGATATTTGTGCAGTCTTTCAAAAAAACATTAATAAGTTAACACATTATTTATAAAAAAATATATAGTTCACTAAATAATTTATTAGATAGTGTTAGCCTTTTTTTCTAAGCCTTAGTTTAATAACTTTACTTAAATACAGCTTTGAAAGAAATTTGTAAAACAGATTCCAGTATTTAACATGAAACTCATATGTCACAGTGATCTGATATTTGGTTGTTGGCAAAGCATCACAAAATAAAGATTTTTCATAAATGCTGCTACATTTTGAAATCATTTGTAACTTCACAAAAGCTGTTGATGCAATATCTATAAAGCTCAAGCATTCTCTTGACATTTCTTTGTTTATTTGTAGTTTAATGTGAAAAAACACAAGTTGCTAATCACGATAAGATCTTCTGATATTGATGTGTGTTGAGAAGTAAACATGTTGTAATTTTCATAGTTTGCTAATTTTATTTTAATAGAGTTAAACACTAAAATATCTGGTTATATTGTATATGTCAAACTTTAATGTAAAAAAAAACATCTGAAATTTATAAATAACAGATTATAATTAATCTATGCTTAATATTTGTCATTCCTGCTACCCATAAGTGTTCCTGGCATATTTTATATGTTATACAGCAAGAAATGCAACTGGGTGTGGCCTACTGGTTAGCATCCCCAAACTGTGGAACTAAGAATTCCTGGTTCATGATCCATTGTCACAAAACCACACTCCATACTTTGGGTCATGGATGCACTATAATAATGGTGTTCAAATCCCATTAATGATCCCATTATTCAATTAAACAAGAGTACTCCAAGAATTGTTAGTGAATGCTGTTGACTAGCTTCATTCTGTCTAATCTATCAGTTCAGAATTAAATAATCTTTTTACAGATAGCCCTTCTGTAGCTTCACACAAAATTCTGAAACAAACTAGCAAAAAAATCAGTATTTAAATTTATTTAGATATTGGACAATACATGGTTCTAATGTTTCTTTTGAACAGTGTGACAGCTTTTTATTCCTTTTTCTCATTAAAACAGGAATCAGTTATGGACTTTTATTGGCATTACTCCAGTAAAGAGGTCATTGATCAACCGGTAAGTTTAAATACTTCTAATACTTTTTTTTCTCAGATTTTTTCAGTTTGAGTAAAAATGGTTTAAAGTCTCATATCAGAAGATGTACAAAATAAAGTATTTATTATATGTAGTATAAAAGGTACAGTAATTCTTATTCTATGTACATGAAATCCACACATTAAAATTTTATTTAAAATAATTCTGTACTTTTAACAAAGCTTTAAAACTAAATAAGAAATGGTGTTTATTTTGGATCAAGAAAAAAAACTTTATTTAATAAAGTATTTAACAGGAGATAAATACCTGAGTTAACATGTAAATCTGTAAACAATCTTGAACATTCTTTCAGAATGAAAATACTTTGTATGGGTTTACGAGTAACAAGAAACATATATGCTGAAAGCAGACAAACCTTCATTGTTATCTTGACTTGTTCTGTTGTAGTGCGTGTTACCTTGTGTAACTTAAGATGTTGTTTAACTTTCTTTTTTCTTTTTACTGCTGTATTCATTCTGTTTAGTTTAAAACTTTATTTGATATTGACAGGGAAAAGATAACTTCTGCAAAGCCATTACTGTTGCCAAACAGGTATTCAACACTCTAACAGAATTTATTCAGGTAAGATCTATGCTCAGTTGAATGTGTTTTTTATACGTTTTATGATATTTGCTAAGTCTATACTTATATTTAGAAGACTGCTCATATAGAACAAATTTAGAATGAAAACTTATATTAATATATCTCACTTCTTAATATTAGTTAGTAAAAACTACTACTACTTATAAGATTTGTTTATGCATATTACTAAGAGGTACTTAATTGCAGAATTTGCTTAAACATTATTTGTTTTGCATATTTGGTAATTTTAAAGATTCATACTGCTTTTAAGTGTGTAAAATGGTAAAGCTACTGAAAGGGGTATGGGTCATTTTTTATTTTACCTTTATATATATATATATATATATATTATAAATTTTAACAAATAACAAAGTAGGTATTTAGAAAAGGCATATAAAGATAAACCTATTTCACATAAGTCCTCCAGTGACTGAGTAGTAAGTCTGAAGGCTTATAACACTAAAAT